TAGATATAAACACCATGATATCTGAGAGTTTACGTCAGAATCTTTTCAAAAAGACAGTGGATGATATCTTCTCATCTGGTACTGGAGAGTTTGACGAAGTAGAGGTATATGAGAATATCCCAAAAGATCTTAATATTAGCGCTGAGAAGGCCAAAAAAGTTGTTCATGAACTAGCTCGTAGCAGATTATTAAACTCGCTTATTCAGGCTGTATCCCTTCTGAGGCAGAGAAACCATAAAGCATTGGTATGAGTCTGATCTGAAGATGCTATTGGTTTTGCGTGAATCATGTCGTAATTTTGCAGTTTTAATGCTTCTCTGTGTTTTTGTAGGTTTCATCTCTCAATGATTTGTTAGCTTGTGACAAGGCCGTTCCTTCGACCCCATTATCTTGGGAGGTGCCAGAAGAACTGTCTGATCTTTTCATCGTATATGTGAAGAGTGATCCCGCACCAGATAAGTTGTCCAGGTTACAGTATCTGTTAGGTATAAGTGATTCAACAGCAGAAACTTTGAGATCTATGAAGGATAGAGAACTACCAAATGGGGTAGGGGAGGAAGAGTTTGTATTTTGATTCTCTTATAGCTTCTGATGAATGTCTGAATATCAGGCTAGAGAGAGAGAGAGAGAGAGAGAGAGGTACTGGTAATTTTTTTCATTTAATGTAGTTGAGGGTGTCTTTGTGCTTTAAGATGTGAGCCAGAAATGGTAGTATCGTTTTTTTTGGTATTTAGTAACTGGTAGAGAACTGTTATGCTATTTGAGTTTCTTTGTTGCTTAGTTGCAAGTTGGACTCTCCTCTTTTCAGAAGGGAAAGGAATTAAAATGTATCAATGAAAAGATTTAATGCAAGGCTTTTGTGTCTCAATTTCCATTTCCTCAACTCAACCCACATCTAAAAGAAAGTTTCTTCTAAAAATATTCTTGATTTTACAATTATATTTTCGTATTCTAAAAGTTTTGTGGATATTTATGAAATCTCTTTAATATTGGTTAAGATTCTCAACAAATCTTAGCCTATAAAGAGGGATTCTTTTATTTGGAAAATATAAGCACAAGAAAATAATGTTCTTATTTGAAATATTTGAGAAAAATATTTGTCGGAAAATGAAATCATAGATATAAAAATAGAAGAGCAGCGTTCTCGAATGCTATCTTTTGTTGCTTAGCTGAATCATGGAGGTAGTAGTGTTAATATTCTTCCGGTTGTCTTTACGGACCTCTAACATTTGTTAAAGGAAATAAAGACTTTATTTGAATATCTTAACATTCCAAACTCTCTCTTTTGCATGTTGGTTTCATTATTCGTCCACCCGTACTTTGGATCTTAGTTTGGTCTGGACGCAATATTATTGCAGTATTTCTTTGCGTGATAATGGTTGCAAGGCTCTGTTTTTGTTTTGTTTTGTTAAATAGCTACTAACGATTCTAATTGTAGTTCTCTCCTAAGGTTTATGTATTGATGTGTGTTCAAGGAGCAAGTTTCCAGATAGTGCTCTTGCAAACAAAGTAGTGACTAGGAAAGTTCATTGCTGCAAAACGATTTTTCAATATCCATAAAGTCTCGTAACATTTGCCATAAAATGGGCGATCAAAAGATCGAATTACTATGGTGGCCGTTATTTCTAGCGGTTGAAGAAATTTGTCCAATAGTGATAAAAGGTGCCGACATCCGATCAAACCTAGTAGTATGCAATCTGCTCAACGCGACCAAAATACTCGGGCGAAAAACTGATTTTCCAAGCAATAATTCAACTCTTTGAGTGCCTGTTACTTTAATTTACCTTTCCATTCTTTTCCATGTTGAACTGTCGGGTATTTGAGTTTACTAGCCCCTATAGAAAGAAAATACACAAAACATTTGTCCAATTCAATCAAAGAAGAGCGTCCACAAAACAAAAATATAGCCAATTAGGTATAAACTGTTCAAACAAAGAGAGAAAGAAAGGAAGATTACAGTAATTAGTGTACCCCTACTTCCATACCCCCTTAATTCACATGCCCATTCTGGGGAAGAGGAAATGTGATTAAATAACATTTTTCAAGAACTACACAGTTGAGGCTGAAACTGGATCAATCGTTTGGTCCCAAAAAATCCTTTTTGCACCAGATAGATACCAGTCATTTCCCAGAGAAACAAAGTAGAAATTCTGCAGCTTTACAACTGCAGACCCTTCAAGCACCTTGATTTCGTGTTTCGGAAAAAAATTTATAAACTTTTTCAACTGAAAACAACAATAACATATATATATTATCATACTTGGGTCTGGGGTGGGTAGTGTGTACGCATACTACCAGATAAAAACTTTTCAACTGAAAAGATTCTAATTTTTTTCTCAACCAAACGCCATTAGATTAATGTTTTTCGGCTTTTGCAAATGCCACATTATTGTCTCAAATCTTCACCAATATAAAACCATTTAAAGCTCCCAGCTAATTGTGACCATATACACGTGAAAAAGTTTTTATATTTTTTATATTTTTTATGTAGGAGCTACAACAATCAGGGCGGATGTAGAGTATGTTGGGATATACTATTAACCATGTGGTTTAGCTATAGTATTGTATTTTATTCTTTATGGAATAATTATTTATTTGATTTATTCAATTCAATAAAGTATTATTTTTAATATATCATTTGTTACATGTGTGTCATTTAGTTATGTAGTAGACAATTTAGTGTATGGATTCTTAGCTCATGCACAGAAGATTAAATTGTCGGTTCTCATAATTAATAAACTATGTCCACAATCGAAGATATTATTGGGCAAAATATCTTGATGATTGTAGTACAAGATTAAAGTATTATTTATCTTGATTATGAGAGTGATTTTACTCCAACTTCTTGTGCTTATATACTTAGTGTATATTGAACAGACCAAGTAGAGAAAAGATATTTTTGTACTGAATATATATAAAGCATTCTCTTTGATTCATTAAATGAGCCTATACACCTAATCTTGATATAGTTATTACGATCAATGTGATTTGTTTATTGTTTTGATTTATCAAAAGTTACAACTCTATTCAGAGTTAGTGTATGCCTAATAGATTGGACAATAACGAATAGCATTTGCGAAATAATAATTAGTTGATAAAATCCATGACTCGGCTTTGAGTTTGATGCTACCCATTTATGTAAGCTTATAAGTTTTCATGTGAAAATCTGTCCGGTGAATTTGTATCCGTCACATGAAATAGTTTAAGCAAAATTATAAAGGATTTAATTAATTGATAAAAAAAATTATCAGTAATTTAGTTTAATTATCTAGTATTTGTAATCTTAACATGGGGAGTTAAAATAAGTGTTAGTGAATTTCAAAATTCATATTGAGGAGTTCAATTGTAGTTTTTTAGTGGAATAAACTGTGATTAATTAATAGTAGGATTTAATTTATCTAAATTTCGAATTAATACTATAATTGGTAGCCTATTATTATTCCAATAGTCCCTGCTATACCTAGTAAAAACTTGGACAGACTTGGGTAAAAGGTGACTCGGGAGAAAAGTTATTTGTTTGAGTTAGAGTAGGATTCTACTTACACTCGTAGAATCCTACACGATTTTTAGCCTTTTTTCCGCTTAATTTCGGGTCTACAACTAGAAGACTAGTTTCACCTAAGTCACTCTTCAGAGTTGTATTATTTTCCCACTCAAATAATTTCGTCCAAGGGTTTTACGAGGAGCATAGCAGAATACTGCAATTCTGGATTCTTGCTCTATTAAGGATTTGTGCAACAATTTCAAGAGGTTAGTGCTTTTATTCTCTGTAATTAATTCGTTGTCTAGTTTACATGTTTGTGATACCTGGGTATTATGCTTGCTTCGGCTGCGCATGTTCTATCAATTGGTATCAAACGTCGTCTTACATCTAACTAGATAATGAATACAACATAAATAGAGTAACATTAAAACGTGTTGTTAAATTATACATGTTTGTTGTGTTTATTCTATGTGAACAATGGTTTTCTATTTCATGAAAATAATATTTTTTTTATAAAATCGAAGCTATTATAATATTATTTTGAGTTCTGAAATCATGGATTAGCATACATAAGTATCATATCTCAAAATATTCAAAACCCTAAAAATGCCAAAAATGAATTTTTGCAAATAGGTCGTGATTTTGGAATTATGAAATTCTGTTGAACTCCGATTGACCTCAAATTTAGTAGGTTCATCGTTAATGACCTAGTGAGCAATACACATCAGCTTTGCTCATGGTGTACGTCATTTTTCGGGCATTCAGGGTCGTTTAGATGGGTTTTTAGCCATTTTTCTATTTTTTGGAAATTATTTTTAATAAAAGAATTTTTTTTTAACGAAAACAGTGATGGTAGGGTTCAATCACCATGGTTTTCAATCACGTTTTACAGTAATATAATGAATTTATATGTTGACATAGGTCTTCTTCCACATCGGATAAATTCACTATAGATAATTACTGTAGTTTTGCCTCTAGTTGTTTGATAACTTGTATTAACTCTCCAACTAAGTTACATGTTAATTCAATGAAAGTAGGGTTTATAAAAGTAATATTTACCTATCTTAAATTGATAATTTACTCTCCATCTGAGTTGGTCATGTTTTAATTTATGGGGAAAATATCTAACATAAATCATATATTTTGCATGAATAGTTAAGTTTCCCTATCGAATCAAACTGTTCATTGATCATAGTTATATGTGTAATGTCTTACTTTGAATTTTATTATTCTTATTGCATAACTAATGATCTATTTAATGTGAATATCTTTTAGATTAACCATGTCTTCATTCAATCCACTTACCTCAATTTTGAACCAAAACAAGTTAGAAGGACTGAATTATGTTGACTAAAAAAGGAACCTTGATATTGTCCTAACTGCTCAAGGTTACAAATTTATAATCACTAAGGAGTGCCCAGAAAAACCCGACGAAGATGCTACTGATGATCATGTTAAGGCCTATGATACATGGGTTAAGACAAGTGAGATGGCGCGATGTTACATTCTAGCCTCTATGGCGAATGTTTTGCAACATCAGCATCAGTCTATGGAGTCTCCTTATGACATGCTCGAAAGTCTCAAAAAGATGTTCGGTGAGCAAAATCGTGCAGCTAAGCAGACAATCATGAAAGCCCTTTTGAATACCAAGATGGCTGAAGGATCATCAGTTAGGGACCATGTTCTGAAGATAATATGTCTTTTGAATGAACTGGAGGTCCTTAGAGTTGTGATTAATAAGGAATCTCAAGTTGAGATGGTCCTGCAGACTCTGCATGATAATTTTCAACAATTTCGCTTGAACTATAATATGAATTAAATGAATTTGTCACTAGCGAAATTGTTGAATGAGCTGCAAGCAGCAGAATCTATTATCAAACAACAAGCTCCGATTGTGGCACTGAATATTGAGAAAGCTTCGGTTTCTAAGCCAAGAGGCGAAAAGAAAAAAAAGAAGGCTCATAAGGTTTTGGCACCTGGAGGTTCGGCTGCTGGTGTGACAAAAGCCCAAAGGAAAGTGCTATCATTGCAAGCAACCTGGGCATCACAAAAAGCAGTATCATACCTATCTGGCAAAGTTGAATAAGCAAGGTAATTCAAATTTAAATGTCATTAAAACTTGTTTAGCGGATGTCTCTACCATATTTTGGTGTGTAGATTCAGAAGCCACTAATCATATCTGCACTACTTTGCAGAGGTTTTAGGAAATGCGATGGCTAAGTGAGAATGAAGTTTGTATTTTTCAAGCCAATAGCGAGCCAACACCAACTTTAGCATTAGGAGATATTAGAGTTTCATTTAGTAGTGATAGAGTTTTAGTTTTAAAGGATGTTCTCTATGTACCTTCTATTTGAACGAATTTGATTTTGGTTTCGAAAATAATGGATGTTGGATATAATGTTTATTTTGCTAATAACTTTGATATTATTAAGTTTAATAAACATTTTATCTACATTGCTGCTAGAGTACATGACTTTTTTATTCTTGATATATCTCCTTGTGTGCTACAACTAAAAGAATTAAATAATGTTATCTGCCACATAAAGGAAAACGTGTTTCTGAATTAAGCCAAACTTATTTGTGGCACTTACGTCTAGGTCATATAAATCAAAATAGGATTTTGAGGTTGGTTTGAGATGGACCTTTGAATTCATTGAAAGTGGAGTCACTACAAACATGTGAATTCTGTTTAGAAGGTAAAATGAGCAATAGTCGTTTCCCCTCAAAAGAAAATAGAGCTAGCGATAAGTTAGAATTAATTCACTCTGATTTGTGTGGCCTTATGAATATACAAGCAAGAGGTGGTTTTGAGTATTTTATGACTTTCACATATGTTTACTCAAAATATGGATACATTTATCTGTTACGTTATAAGTCTGAATGCTCTGAGAAACTCAAAGAATTTAAGACGAAAACGGAGAAATGACATTATAAACATATCAAATCATTGCGATCTGATCATGATGGTGAATACCTTTCTGCGGAATTCATTAAATAGTTATCAAATTGTGAAATTACATCTCAATTATCTGCCCCATGAACACCACAATAATATGGTATGGCAGAAAGAAGAAATAAGACCTTTATGGAAATGGTTAGATCAATATAAAGTTATTCCAATTTGCCTTATTCCTTTTGGGAATATGCTTTAAAAATAACATATTATATTCTGAATTTGGTTCTTTCAAAATTAGTACCTTCAACCCCAGCAGAATTGTGGACTGGGCGCAAGCCCAATTTACGGCACATTCAGATTTGGGGGGTTGTCCAGCACTTGTGCTAAAAGAAAAAGCGGATAAATTAGAATCAAAGACAGAAGTGTGCATTTTTATTGGATATCCAAAGGGAACGAAATGAGGTTTATTTTATTGTCCCAAAGAAAAGAAGGTAATTATTGCGACAAATGCCAGATTTTTAGAAGAGGACTATTTAATGAACCATATTACTAGAAGTAACTAGTTTTACAGGAATTAAGCAATGGAGTAACTAATGACTCATCTCTGAAAAGTATCCCGGAAGCCAGTATTGACATACCACTGCATTATTATAGTGGGAGAACTGCCAATAGGCAGCAGGACGCACAAGAGCAATTGCCTGACATCTCACTACTCCAAAGTAGTGGGAGTAATATTGAGCAACATTAGATTGTTGAACAACCTGAAATTATTGTGCAGCCTGCACTTCAGGAATAAATTAATGATATCCCGGCATCGCAATATGTGGAGGATAACATTGAAGCTTCAGTTCCGAAAAATGATGTCACGGTTCAACAACAAAATCAAACTGCACATGTAGTGACCAGTAGCCATGCTTAAATCCATTAGGATTCTCTTATCCATTGTTGCGCATTATGATTATGAGATTTGGCAAATGGATGTCAAGACGGCTTTTCTTAAAGGAAGTCTTAATGAGTGCATCTATATGGTACAACCAGTTGGTTTCATAAAAAGTGGCAATGAGCACATGCTGTGTAAATTAAAAAAAATCTATTTATCGATTAAAACAGGCTTCAAGAGCATGGAATGCTTGTATTGACACATCGATTAGAAGTTAAAACTTTCGATTTTGATCAATGTGAAAGCGAGTCTTGTATCTATAAGAAGTGGGATAGAGATAAAGTTACATTTTTGGTTTTGTATGTAGATGATATCTTGTTCATAGGAAATAATGTTAGCATGTTGAATTCAGTAAAGGAGTGGTTGTCCTTGTATTTTGATATGAAAGACTTGGGACAAGCGACACATATCCTTGGGATCAAGCTTATGCGAGATCGCAAGCGAAGGATATTAGGCTTATCCGAAGACTTTATATTGATACTATTCTCACTAGGTTTAGCATGCAAGATTCCAAGAAAGGTTTTCTTCCTTTTAGGCATATAATCTCTCTGTCAAAAGATCAGTCCCTAAAAATGACTGATGAGATAGAAAAGATGAAGGCGGTCCCTTATGCTTCTGTCATAGGAGTCTCATGTATGCTATGCTATGTACTAGACCTGATATATGTTTTGTTATTGGCATGGTTGGCAGATTTCAGTCCAATCCTGGATGAGAACACTGGACTCCCGTTAAACATATAATCAAGTACCTGAAAAGGACTAGGGATTATATGTTGGTTTATCACTCAGGTGATCTTGCACCCATTGTCTATACTGATTCAGATTTCCAGTCAGATAGAGATTCTAGAAAATCTAACTCAGGATATGTTTTTACCTTAGGAAGTGGAGCCATAAGTTGGAGGAGTATATAACAATCATGTGTTGCTAATTCCACCATGGAAGCCGAATATGTGGTTACTTCTGAGGCACCTAGAGAGGTCGTTTAGCTCGGGAACTGTCACGACCCAAACCGATGGGCCGCGACGGGCACCCGATACCTTACTCAACTGAGTACCGACGTAACGTATATTTTGTATCATACTATCACAGGTAATTGAGCCAAAGAGGCTGTCGTGAGATAAGTAGAATAAAACATGTAATACCAACTTGGGCCTATAAGACTAAAATGATCACTCGTACACTAAACATAGGTCGACAAGGCCATACAATCTTTTACGTACATGGCATATGTCTACAAGCCTCTAAGAGTAGATAAATATCATAAAGGTCGGGACAGGGTCCCGCCATACTAAACAATACACGTCCGAATCATACTAATCAAATAAGCAACTCTGGAGCAAATGGAACGCACCAACATCTTCCGCTGAGCTGATAGCCTACTTGGAGGACTCTCGACCTGTCTATCGGGACCTGCGGGTATGAAACGCAACGTCCCTAGGAAAAAAGGGACGTCAGCACAAATAATGTACCGAGTATGTAAGGAATGAAATCAGTAAATAATAGACATGAGAGAAACATGGAGTAAAAGAACTCAACCTGAAATTCTGAATAGCTTTGTGAATCATGAAAATTTATAATGTCATGCATGTGTGTATAAATGCCATACCATGCATAGGTATATGCGCACAAAATATCATCAAACCTCTGAGGGCATCCCATCATATCATCTCAGCCATTGTGAGCAAAATCATCAACGTATACCAACTGGTCAGGTGGTGATGCGTATATAACGCCGTAACCTTTTTCCATATCCCATATACATATAATATACGCGTATATAACGTCTTCTGGTCAGGGGTCAATGTACATATATAAATGCATGAAATGCATAAGAAATACATTAATAAGATTTCTCGAATATCATAAAATCAATATGCCTTTCGGACAAACTTTATCAAATATGTATTTTTCTGAGACCCATGAATAGAGGATATAATAATAATTCACATGGGGAATCAAGAATATAGACAACCCTAGTATTTCTATGAATAGAGTCATTTATGAAAGTTGCGTATTTTGCTCGTTTCGTTTGTATCATTTAAATCATGCCAAAAAGAAAGAAGGGATAGCCTTAACATACCTGAACCGATTCCTTTGACAATCCCTTTAACACCCGTTGATTGCGACAACACATAACGACGGATCAAAGTAGGGAAAAATTCGTATGATATTCTTGAGAAAGATTGCACTGTACTCCCTTAGAATCGCAAAATCTTGTTGCTATTACGCAGTATAATTTCGTATGAATTCCTTTGCTAATTCAAGAACTCCCATTTCTATTACAATATGGAGTCTCGTATGAATTTCAAAATCCCTCACCTTTTCGTCCTTGGCTTTTCCCTTTCTATAACCACCCCCCACCCCCTTCCCCAAGTGAATTCTTGATATCAATGGAAGATAAAGTGTAAGGATGACTCATATAAACTTCCCTTTCTACGTGTTTGCAAGGGATGGCTAAGAATATTGTTGAATCAATTTACTTTGCCAAAGCAGATCTGTATGACATTCTTTCTTATAAAGAATAAAATGAATTAGAAAAGTCCCTTTTTATAATGGTGTGGATGCCCCACTTATAAGGCTTACTTTAGCCACTTTAAAATCTCTTAAAATGTCACATTTCACATAAATTTAAGAGTCATTAAATTGGTTTTAACTTGCTGCCAAGTCTTCATAAACCCACGTGAAGGTTGTCCCCTCAGAATTATCCAAAATCTTTACCTAAATAATTATCCATAAAATCCAATTTACAAATTAATCTCACTTAAAAATTTATAATTACTCAATTATCCATATAATTAAGAATTATCTCAAATTACATAAAATACTACTCACTTTTAATATATTTTATACACCTTACTATCATGGCCATGTGGTACCTTGTATGGTACTAGTCCATAAATACCGGGTATTTTAGCTCGGGCCGTATTTTATCCCAAATGTCAAACTTCGACGAAATTTATTTTTTTTCGATTTGTTTACCCTCTCACCTTCATGAATTTACTCGTCACTTGTTTGAAATAGCATAATGCTTATAATTTTAAATAATCTCATTCCCGAACTTACAACGATTAACTTACAACGATTAGCTTACGACGAAACTTTAACGTACAAAAATGCGAGATGTAATATCTCATTTTCGAGATTTCATCAATTTATTCATGGTGTACTTTTATGTACAAAAATATGGGGTGTAACAGGAACTTTCTGAAAGAGCTTAATGTAGTTCTTTTGGTTCAAGCACCAATTGTACTTTATTGTGACAATAGTGATGCAGTTGCAAACTGGAAGGAACCAAGAAGCCATAAAAGGAGTCAGCATATTGAGCGTAAATATCATCTAAGTCGAGACATAACTCAGAGAGGTGATGCAAAAGTGTTGAAGATTGCGTCAGAGAACAATTTGGCAGACTCGTTTACAAAGAACTTGCCACAGAAGATTTTTGACAAACACATAGAAGGAATGGGTATTAGAGTTGTAGACGCATAGTTATGAGTCTAAGTGGGAGATTGTTATGATATACCATTAACCATGCGGGTAGTAATGTATTTTATTCTTTATGGAATAATTATTTACTTGATTTATTCAATTCAATAAAGTATTATTTTAAATAGATCATTTGTTACATGTGTGTCATTTAGTTATGTAGTAGACAATTTAGTGTACGGAGTCTTAGCTCGTGCACAGAAGATTAAATTATTGGTTCTCATAATTAATAAACTATGTTCACAATCGAAGGTATTATTGGGAAAAATATCTTAATGATTGTAGCACAAGATTAAAGTATTATTTATCTTGATTATGGGCGTGGTTTTACTCCAACTTCTTGTGCTAGTATACTTAGTGTATATTGAACGAACCAAGTAGAGAAAAGACGTTTTTGTACTGAAAATATATAAAATATTTTCTCTAACTCATTAAATGAGCTTATACTCCTAATTTTGATATAGTTATTATGATCAATGTGATTTGTTTATTATTTTAATTTATCAAAAGGTACAACTCTATTCAGAGTTAGTGTATGCCTAATAGATTGGACAATAACGAATAGCATTTTTGAAATAATAATTAGTTGATAGAATCCATGACTCGACTTTGAGTTTGATGATACCTCTTTATGTGAGCTTATAAGTTTTCATGCGAAAACCCGGCCGATGAATTTTGTATCCGTCATATGAAATAGTTTAAGCGGAATTATAAAAGATTTAATTAGTTGATTAAATTAAATTATCAATGATTTAGTTTACAACAACGACCCAGTAAAATTCCACTAGTGGGGTCTGGGGAGGGTAGCGTGTACGCTGACCTTACATCTACCCCAAAGGAGTAGAGGGGTTGTTTCCGAAAAACCCTCGGCTCAAGAAGACAGGGGGTATTTGTAATCTTAACATGGGGAATTAAAATAAGTGTTAGTGAATCTCGAAACTCATATTGAGGAATTCAATTGCAGTTTTTTAGTGGAATAAACTGTGATTAATTATAGTAGGATTTAATTCATTCAAATTTTGAATTAATACTATAATTGGTAGGCTCTTATTATTTCCGTGGTCCCTGCTATACCTAGTAAAAACCTGGACAAACTTGAGTAAAAAGTGACTTAGGAGAAAAGTTATATGTTTGAGTTAGAGTAGGATTCTACTTACACTAGCAAAATCCTACACGATTTTTAACCTCTTTTTGGCTTAATTTCGGGTCTAATTAGTTTCACCTAATAACTCACTCTTCACAGTTGTATTATTTTTTCACTCAAATAATTTTGTCCAAGAGTTTTACGAGGAGCATAGCAGAAGACTGCAGCTCTAGATTCTTGCTATGTTAAAGATTTGTGCAATAGTTTCGAGAGGTTAGTGCTTCTAATCTTTGTAATTAAGTCATTATCTAGTTTACATGTCTGTGATACCTAGGTATTATGCTTGCTTCCGCTACGCATGTTCTAACAGAGTATGGCCGTCGCGTTCATCTGAACCCAGTACTTTCGCCGCAGAGCATAAATTTATGCGTGAAAATTCATTAAAATTGCAACAAATGGTAGGTCTGAACCCATAACTTTAAAAATACAATGGGTTCAATGCTAAAATCCTTAAAAGTTGAACTCACATAATCTAAATCCTGGCTCCAACAATGAACATATGCAAATGTGAAAGGATAAAAATTTGACAGAGGTGGTTGATTTTCAGGCTCTCGGCCATTAAATTATGAATTTTGGCATGGATAGTGCAGAGGGAAAATGCTAAAAGAAAGTCACTACTGTACATTGTTTTTTCACAGTAAATTATTTGAGTAGTAAGTGAAAAAGCAGTAATTTGAAATCACCTGACTTATTTATCATTGTCTTTATCTTTCTGTTTTAGATCATACATTTTTTTATGATTAATCAGATGGTCTTTTTGGCTTCTCATTTTTTTCCTTAGAATTTAGATATGCTGGTGAGTCTCGAGTGCCCTTCTCAAAGAAAAAAGGAAAAACAGAAATACCAAATAAATTAAGTACACAAACTTAAAAAAGATCTAACTTTCCAAACGGTTGATGTTGCTTTTATTTAATATTTCTTCATATTTTATAAGAGAATACTCATTATCCCTCTCAATCTAAGCTACCTTTTGTGTGTACTAAATAAGTTAGGATAAACTTTTATTTTTATTTTTAATCCAAATTATTATAAGGACTTTGGGGGAAGGGCCTTAGAAAAGGGCATCTTCGCCGTTATAGTATTTTATCGCGAAATTATTATTCCACCCTCAATGTAGGATATAATAATACCAAAATTGTGGTATAAATTGATCCCGGGATTGCTAATCACGAATTCGAAAAGGAATTTTTATACAAATAGCCGGCCATATTAATTGTTTACTTTTCTAGCCATATACATAATTTTTATATTAATTATACACAATTATGCATATATAATACATAAATTATGCATATATTATACCTCCACGGGTTATTTTTAATTTAAGCGGTTAGGTGGACGACTATTTGGATTAATTCTTCAATTTAAATTCAACCAAACGCAAAATAAAATAATCACATATCTAATCCTTAGATTATTCATCACCAAAACAACCTCCAAGAGAATGAGAACCTCTGTTAAATATTGTTATTTTAATTCTATCTGTTGATTAGTTTCTAATTGAATATACAAATACAATGCTTTCTTTTGTTTGAGAGAATAAAAAATTATCATGAAATGACTTAAATGGAGAATCAGATATTTAGTTCATAAAGGGATAGGTATTACTGTATCTTTCTTGTGGAGAGAAAGTAGAGCGAAGAGAATCAAATCTTTGTAACGTGAGATGATAACAAAACCAAAAAAAAACTACACTATCTATTATCTAGTTTTTTTTTTTTTTTTTTTTTTTTTTTTTTTGAGGGGGTGGGGGGCGGGAATCAGACTGATAACATAGTTGGCTTAGTGTCAAACAATGTAGTATTCTTTTATAACAGGCGTGATTCTGCAATTAAGCATAAGACAATAAATAAAGTAAAATCTGTAGTCATCTCAGCGCCTCGAAGCCAAGACTAACAAGCTTGAGATTTAAAAAAAAAAAAGAATACCATATGCATAGATTAATTTTTTGACAAAATTTTTTAATCGAACCCCTTTAAACTATGTAACTCAGCTCTTGTGACTAGACGTTGTTGCATTTTCATAGTCCATATCGTTAGCTTGAATTTTTTGCTTACCTATGGCTCATCAAATGGTATTGTCAAACTTGGTCAAAATCACCATATCATTGAAAAAGAAATGTATAAAAGGGAAAATATTTTGGGAAAGGGAAAACATTTTGGGAGATTTCGAAAGCTTTTTCACAAACCTACCTAAAGAAAACGGCACTTCTGATCGCTTTCTTGTAACGGAATTCACAACACCCAGCAGTAAACTCATCCTCTTTGCCCTAACTAATAAAAACATCCAATGTCGGACTGCTAATTGTTTGACCCAACAATTACCAGGATATTAACACAACTTGCAAATAAGTTTAATTATTTTTCTTTGTAAATATAAAAAAGGGTAAACTAGTCGGAACCCAGTCACAGCTACGTAAAGGTTATGAAACTTCGATCCTGGTAACACAAACAGAATCAGACCGAGTATCCATTCAAATTAGTAGACACTAAAAAAGTGTTTTTTTTTTTTTTTTTTTTGGGGGGGGGGGGGTGGGGGGGTGAAGAAGCTACCAAAAACAACTACTAACCAGAAACGAGAAAGTAATAATGTAACTTCAATCTACTACTACAGTGAAATTGAGAGAAAAACTACCCTCGGGATACTCGGAGAAAAACTACCCTCGGGATACTCGGAGACCAAAAGAATTATAAAGCTACTACAATATTTGCAAAGCCATGATCCTGAACTGTCATCACAGAACAATTAACATGCAAGGCATGCATACTCATTACTCTCCCTTCAATGAGCTGTGCAACAAGTCCCCCAAGACCAACCATACTGTAGGCAAAGACAGAATAGCTCCCCTAAAGACGCATCACATATATTCACCTTTTCCCTCTGCCTCGCTTTTTTCCACTTTTTGTCTCACTCACTTGTTCCTTTGATGCAACAGATAATTTATCCTTTGTGCTTTCAGGTGTTTTCACTGGATCAGTTAACTTTTCTTTTCGGTCCGGCATTTCTTTCACCTTTGAGGAACTTGATTTTGCCTTGCCCGTGCCATTAACATTAGGCTTGTTGCCACTTTGAGGAGTTTTACCTTTGGACTTGGTGGCAGTCTTTGATGAGGGTTCTTGCTCAGACTTGGATTTAGGTGTACTACTACCAATATTAGATTTGCCAGATACCTTTTCAGTGTCGTCAACAGATTTACCAGTGCTCTTTCGAGGTTGAGCCTTCGATTTACTGCCAGGCTCATCATCCTCATTTCTCCTATCAGATTTGCCTTCACTCCTGGATTTAAGTTTAGATTTGGTGGACTTGCCTTTGAGATTACTGTAAGAAACAGATCAAAAACTGAAACCATTAGCTTCAATACCTATCAATTTCATAAAATTTAAAAACATGGATGAGATATCAAAGATAACCTATTAGGTGAAGCCTCCACTTTGACATGCTTCGCTGATGATTCAGCAATTGTTCTACCTTTTTTCTTTTGCCTGGCATATGAAAGCACAGGAGTCAACAGAATTCAATGAAGCCACTTCAGGAAATGGAATTACGACTCCTTTAACTCTACTCAAGTTCAAATAATTAGATTCAATAACAAATAAATCACGACATACCTTAAATGGCCGAGAAGAAAAGGTTAATCACACAATCACTTAAAAGATAGCCTCGGTTTCTTTAAAGAGGTAACACTAGATCCTCCTTACAATGTTAATTTCCACATCCCATCACTTCATACAACAACTTTGTGGCTTAAATCAAGAAAAACATAATAAGACAATAAAAGACATCTAATTAGTTATGGACAATTTAAACATAGCCCGCTCCACTTGGGTCTCAAACTAAGAGAAACTTCTCTTATACTGGAACCACCGAAACAGAAGTCCACATAAAATGGTTATTTATACACACAATCCAGCCATAGCACCTGGCTTTGCTCATAGACTAACAGAAGTAACATATTACAAATAATCAAAGTCACATGCCATCACAGGTTTATATAGTTGTGCTGTGGAAGCAGCACAATGCAATAGCCCTCAAAATTCAGCAATTCAACCAACTAAAATTATGGGATATCAGAGCAGGAAGTCAGGCTTTTTCAGTCCAATGAAAATAAATCCGTTCAATGATGGTGTGTGCGCCATGAAGTAACAGGCAGAGAAGGAGAAAAATAATAAAATAGTGGAACATCATCTATCAGGAAAAAATCATAGGAAAAAGTACCACGAGGATGAGGAACTTTACTAATGAGTACTTTATATTTAAAAAAAATGCCATCTGGCAAAAGTTAAAGTTGAAAAGTATTAACACAGAGATAAAACCTATTGACTTCTTTTACTTGTGATTAGCCGTGGATTTCAATCTTGTGAGACTTGCCTTGCAATGTACGTAGTCAAGATGGTGACCTTCAGGGAATGTTCAACTTTTGGCACTTCATTAATGGTATTAACTTAATGTGACTGGCACTCGTATTACATCCATCAATAAACTTGGTGCATCACATCTTTCTAAGAAAAATAATAAAAATTAGTGCATCACATATTGACAGATTCCAATTTTTACTGAATGGGAAGAGCGATTTCTAGACACAACACGGTAATCTACACCTACACAGATCGCAGATTAAAACAAGAGGGCTTTAAGGAATTTGTCAAACAATGGCGGGACAATTTTAAGATTAGAAAGACCAGAATACAAATTGGCAAGCAATTTGAAAGTACAGAGGAACATTTTAAGAAGCAAAATAGGAGAATACTTGGAGTCTTGGACGACCAGAAAATAATATTGTCAAAGTGCTTCAAGAATTTACTGGTCAGCTGGCAAGGGCAGAAGGTATCAAGGAATCAGAAGCAACTATGGTGGATCAAGGAATCAGAAGCAACTATGGTGGACCATCCCTCTATGCATTTTCTGGACCATCTGGGAAGAAAGGAACAATGTTTGCTTTGAAGACGAGGAATCACATTGCTAGAATAAAAAATACTTGTCTTCAAAATCTATTTTTTTGGTGTAAGAAATGTTTAGTTGAAAGTCTAGATCAATATATGGAGTTTTTGGATGTGTTAAGCAACTTGTAACTGATAGTATGCTATTTATAGGTGTTGTCTGATCCTGGTGTAATCTTATGTACCATCTTGGTACTTTTATTAATAAAACCTTTACCTTATCAAAAAAAAAATTATATGAGCTAGAGAAAGAAGGGATAATGTCCCAAAAACAGGAGCTACAAAGTGAGGATTCAAGGAACACAGGAAATAAGCTGGAGATGGAAGTCGACAGTGAGATGGTTGAAAGATGGAAATGACAGTAGTAGATCTTTTTCATCAAATTGTCTATTGCTCATAGGAGATATAATTTATCCAGTACTTACATATGAACGAGAATATCTGGAGATGAGGAAATTAAGGAAAGAGTAATTACAATTTTATAAGTGATGGTTAACTGATACAAAAAGTTGTAACTGACGTTTGGATGAAATTTCATTTCAGAACATTAACTTGTCTTAAAAAGATATCTTGCGAAGACTTTCTGAAAAGGAGATCACTGAAAAGATATGAAGATAAGTACCAAAACTTGATGGATTTGGGATGGCTTATGAAGGTAAAAGGGTACAGGAACCTGATGGATTTTACAATGGGAATCTTTCTCTATACCTTGGAAATTGTCCATGATGATGTGAACAGAATGCTTAGAGCACTTTTATCGCACACGATCTTCCTTATTCTGTCTTCCTAAAGAGAATGGAGCAAAGGATATAAATGAATTCACATTGCTGGTCCCAAGCCCGTATAAAGGAGGAGGGAGATTAAGCACCCAAGGGTGTGGCCAAGTGGTCAATGATGTAGGTTGAGAACCATGAGGCATCATGTTCAAATCTCAACAGAGGCAAAAGCACTACATGATTTCTTCCAAGCCTGGTGGACAGAGTCGCCCAGTAGGGAGGTAGCACGTACTGTATGGAATTAGCCGACGTATGCGCAAGTTGAACTGGATACCACGGTTATCAAAAAAAATAATAAAGGAGAAGCATTAAGGTAGACCGGCAGCCAGTGTAAAACTTGTCAAATCATAATCCTCATACATCGCACCTATGTGTGAAGGAGTATAAGCAATTGTTCCCACATCATGGACAGGTATGAGTACAAAAGCTACTTTCGCCTCATTAATGCCCGGATGTGCTGTAAAATAAGAAAGGTTTCTCGCAGCGTGGACAGATAAGGGTAAAAAGCTAGTCCAAGAGAGTCGAGCTGGAACATATGCACTTTGACAGGGAAGTCGATGGAATTGGTGGATACCCTAAAAAAGGAGGAGAGTTAATATTGCATAGCAAAAGCCTAGAGAGATAACACGGGTTATAAATTATGATATTGTGTGATAGATAAAAATATGAATGGGTTGGAAATTATTGTAGAACCAGGACTTAAAAATAAAGTTATAGAGGTAAAACGAGTTGGGGATACCCTAAAAAGGGAGGAGAGTTAATATTGCATGGCAAAAGCCTAGAGAGATAACACGGGTTATAAATTATGATATTGTGTGATAGATAAAAATATGAATGGGTTGGAAATTATTGTAGAACCAGGACTTAAAAATAAAGTTATAGAGGTAAAACGAGTTGGGGATAGGATTATTGCATTAAGGCTTGTACGGGAGAAGGAGGCAATCAATGTTATTAGTGCCTATGCCCCGCAAATAGGTTAAAATAATATATAGATGCCTAATCCATGTATTACAAACATTCATATTGTTATTCCATATTCTATGTCGCATAGAATAATACACAAATTTTCACATAAACTTATGGAGGTATTATTTATGAGGAAAAGAAAGTAGCAACCAAACATTGTATTAACAGTTTTGGTGTTTATGAGGAGATAAAATCTCCTCGCTACACCAACCAGTAGCGCCTAAAGGAATAAGTAATAAATAGCCATGCTTACACTACTGATGACACATCTGGACTTGCAATTTGATCCTGCCAACATATCAGCATTCAAATGCATTAGAGAGTGTATAAGGTAAATCCAGCAAATATCAAATTCTGCCAGCAATAAACCTCTTCTGACACTTCATCTCCTTGAATGAATTCCCACCGTTCCTTTCTGAGATTTAATACTTCTGTTTCTCCATCATCATATGAAACCTAGTATGAAAATACCAGTCAAACTTTGCAAGTAACAAAGGGAACAAATCTACTATAGCAGCAGGAAATAAACTGCACTTACAGTGTGCTTTCTTTTGCCAGAATCAAAGGCACTAATAACACCTTCATAGAATCTGTAACAACAGAGCAGGGTCAGCAAAAAACCCAGAAAGTGTTTACAAACAAAAGTAAAGCAAGTTTACATTGCTAAAAGTGTAAAAATAAGGGCCCGTTTGGATTGGCTTAAAAAAAAGTGGCTTTTAACTTAAAGTGCTTAAAAGCACTTTATAAGTGCTGGAACTTGTTTTATAAATAAGCTGTTACGTGTTTGGATAAAAGTGCGGAAACTTAAAACAAGTTGATGAAGTGTTTGGTAAACAAGTGCTGGTAAGCACTTTTTCTTGTTAAAATGACTGAAATATCCTTAAAGTTGTTAACATTATAAAAAAGATGATGACTATAATATTATATTTTCCGTTCATAGCTTCAAATTCAGGGGTAACACGTAAATTCATTGAATGATTTGATTTTAGAATATAGTTACACCAATTTAAAAATAAAAAAAAAAGGATTCAACGACCAAAAAAATTAAATATTATGGAACCAAAAAAAGAAGCCAAAAGAACAATATTTACAAAATATTGGAATGTATCAAACATTATTTAAAAAACTATTGTTTGCTTCACGTTAAGAACTTCAAGAAATTGACAAACATTGGAGAATGGAGAAAAAAAAATAGTATGTTGTAGGGTTTTTACTTGGGGGTAATTTCGGGATTAAGAAAAATTATAAGGGATAAGAATGTAATATCCTTGGTCAAAGCAATATGGCTTTTAAGCCAATTTAGAAAAAAGCTGGGTTTTCCAACTTATTGGTTTGCCTTTTTGTAAGCCCATTTTTTGGTTGCCAAACACTTCTACAAGTTAAAAACTGCTTAGACCAGCTTTTAAGCCCATTCAAACAGGCTCTAAAACTAACTGAAACACTTGCGCAGCAATTTCTGTTACCCCGGTATGATAAAAATTGCTCACGAACTATAGCAATTAGTTCTGAGGACCGAGGGGGCAGAGGGAAAAAAGGTAGAGCAAACAAGTTGACAGCAGTGTAACACAGGAAATAAGATAAACACTTACGATCGATCATATGGCCACCAAACTTTAACTTTTAAACCAACCAGGCTTTCATCATATTGCACATCCTCTGTTGCCTGACAAGTAGCACAACAGCATATACTGATTAGACATCAGCTTCCTAGAGAAGTCACTGATTAATCACACAAGACATTCTCTAGATGATAAATGAATCAAATATAAACCAATTTTTGAAGATTTCACTACACATCCGACAACCTTCATCCTGGATATACACATTTAAAATATCAATATCATGGTTAAAGGGGGGTGCATAGACTGTCATAAGTAGAGTGAAAAAGACAAGCAAGATACTGCAACTATGTCGAAAAGGCGATTCCAATGGGACGGTCAAATCAAGCAGAAATATTTGAGCATGATTTTCTTTTTCACAAGTACAGTGGCATTTGGACACCGAACAGCTAACAGATAAGATGGATAAAGCAGCATAAATATACATTGTAAAGCACTTACCCTGTCCTTACCAGACGACCGTTTTCTCTTTGCACTCTTTGTGGTTTCCTCTTGGTTACCTTCATCTTTAGCAGGCTTATCAGGAGAATCCGGTGAAGGTATGCTCTCCTACCCAAAAAAAAAGGAAAAAATTAGATGGCACCAATAAGAAAAAAAATAGATGAGACTAACATGAAGAGCGTTTGGCAAGTCTAAAAAGGAATGAAGCTGCAATGAGAGAAACCAGAAATTACAGCGACATCATCCTTAGAAGAATATTGTAGGGAATCATATTACCAGCCTAGCTTTTGCAGGAGCACGCTTTTTGCCATCGTCCTTTTTCGTAGAGGGGTCATCCTGGCTCTGACTCTGACTCTTAACCCTCGGTTCATTCTTCTTACCCAACTGCTTCGGCGTTATTGCCTCCGCGTCACTGGAGGAGCCATCTTCTTTTTCCTCGTGAGAAGGCTCTAAAGGGGCTTCCTCGGAAGGGCGACTGACCTGCTTTGCTTCTAAGTGTTTTGTACCTTCAGATACCTCCTTAGACACACACTGTTTTTTATTCGAGCTTTTTTTCTTCTTTGGCCGACCACGACCAGCCTTTTTTCGGACACACTCGTCAGCAACGCTCTGACTTGGAGATATCGGAGCTACATTTATAGCTTCTCCCTCAGATTCTTTTGGCGTATAATGCTGAAGGTTAGCTTCTATTTTCTTCTCCAAAGAGTTGAATCCCTCACAAGCTGGGTCATCAGAAGTGGAACTTTCAGAATCGCTATTTTGATTTTTCCTGCATTCTGGAAGCTCCTCGGCTTCTTTTTCATTGTCGCCAGGAGCTTGAAAAGAAGATTCAGCTGAGTTTATTAAAGAGTTTGCCTTCTTTGCACTTTCCTTAGCAGCTTGTGCTGACCTAGACTCCGATTGCATTGACTTCTCAACCATTGAATCATCAGAATCAGACTTGGATGTCATCTTAGCAGCAGCATCTTGCAGATCCCCACTATCATGATTCTCGACCTTAATCAACGAATCTGTTTGAGCAGCAGATTCCCTGTTTCTTTCACTAACACCATTACTTGTGATGGACTTTGAAGATTTATTAACAGCATGGTCAACATCATCAGAGCATGCCTCTTCTCTGACACTCTCAGCCATCTAATCAAATAAGAAGTTCCCAAATAAATACCTTAAAATAACAGCCAGCCAACAACACAATCACATTGGAAGTACATTCTGGAAATAACACATTTATATGCACGACCATAGATGACATCAAACCAGCTCATCGATTTGGCAACACAAACAAATAATAATCATAATATCCAGATAACATGCTTGGCCTGCCTCGTCCAAAGATATTCTAGCCACTTTGCTCCCAGCAGCCTTAGACAATGTGCATTCCAAGACAAGATATAAAAATACGTATAACAAAAATATCCTGGAAAAACCACAAAACATAAGAAATCCAATCGCACAACTGAGTTGCATGAGCACCCCTCTGGAAGGCCAGAAAACTTGCTCTCGGCAGCCTTGAACACACATCAATATATAAACTTAGTAATAAAATAAGGAGAGAATTGCAAGGGGAAATCACATTGTCAGTAGTTTTAAAAAAGTGTGAAACCTTCAACTTGATGCCACACAAAGAGATACTGCAATAGCATGGCCTTCGTCAGATTTTTTGGTTGTTCGGTAAGCTCCCAGGTTCTATTTATAACATCACACAATGGAGCAAGCATATTTACCTTTGTACTCTTTGCATCTACTTGATGCCAATAATGAGATTATGAAACTACTTCATTATAAAAAAATACTGCGATAGTATTGCGTCCAAACCAACAACATCAACTACTACACACTTGTGGCACACACAGACAGTAAAAAGTGGCTTCAAATTCTCATACTGAGAAGAAGTACATGTTGAAGAACTATGAAATCAACATGCAAAACAGAAGTCAAGGAGCTTTGCAGAAATCACTCTTCCCCAGAACCATTAATAATTTAATATTTAGCAATCATCAATCTAATTGCTAAAGAGCTACAAAATTGGCAAAACATTAGAATTTCAGCACTTACATATGAACTACGAGATATATTTGGCATCTAATCACATCATCTACACAACGACGCATCCAGAAAGTTATACACTACAACTCTTTTGGTACAAGACTAAGAAATTGGTTTCCTTGTTAAATTGCTGTGGCAAAACATCATAACATTACAACAAAAACTACTTTGCCTCAATTCCGAGCTAGTTAGGGTTAGCATAAAATCCTTACAATCCAGTTTGCTCTATTACGACTCATTTCATTCCCGTGTCTAAAAATTGAGTTTACCAACAATCGAGGTTTCCTACACTTCCTACTAACAATCTTTAAACAAACTAAATAGATACCAGCAACACTTTGCCTGACGTCAGCACAGCGCATATGACTAAACCTTAATCTCCACTAGTTGGTGTCACTTCTATGGGTCTTTAGCCTTTATTAGGTCCTGCATTTCGCTAAATTTGTGTGGAGCCCAAAACATTGCAGGTCTTTTGAGACAACAATCATTTTATGTGATTTTAGCTCTACCTTCTCCCTTTTGCAAAACATCATAAAACTTTTTAGAAAGAATTTTTTTTTTGCATTCTTAGTTCATATTCAAATATGCTGTTAACAGTAGCCCTCACTGTACCAAGTTATTTTATGGTCATTTACTTGATCTGTGCCTCAGTTATGCCGCAACAATTTAGTAGATATCATCTGAACATTGCTACTACAGCGCTGGAGTTCGGATTTGAAAACTGAAGATTTTATTTAACAGGGACAATACAGTATCAAAAGCTTAAAAAGGCAGCATAACTTAACAATGAAAATTAAGTTACCAATTGGTTTCTTAAGGAAATGTCATTGCCAAGCTCAACAGCTATATGAGTCCCTTCCAACACAGAGGTCAGGGATTTGCTGTACTCATCCAAAGAAAGGTCTAATGATTCAACTGCTTGTGCCAGGTAAGGTTTGAGCTTGGGTGCACAATTTGCAAATACTGTCTTCACCAACTTCTTAGCAATGGGCGTCACCTCCTGAAAGTTGAAAACATTTAGCCATATCACAGACTAAAAAGGACTTAATAAATGCAATAATACAAAATAAGTGCATCTATTAAACCATGAAAAACCTTGCTGTGCTTTTTTACAGTAGCCAGCAGCGGGGTAAGCAGTTCCATAGTTACTTCTTCACTTTCTTCCAACACAACAGTCATTATCGTGGCCATATATGTGAATATAGCCTCCGAATGAAAATCTCTGGAAATGGAATTCAAGCAATAAACTGTTAGATTGATTAACTTCACGATGTCTACCCTAACGTCATTCACAAAGCAGTGATGCTGAACAATTTATTACAAGGTTTACAACAATCATTTCAAAAATAATGCTAAATTGATAATTAACATGGAAATGTTGCTGAAAACAAAGTAAAAGGTCGACTAAAAGAAAGTCAAGTTCCATAGAGTAAATGCCACTATTTTATATCTACTAACAACTGCAGCATGACATACAAAATTTGTGATCCTTAACAGCGTATAAGTCTATAAGGGGTCGTTTGGTTGGGAAACAAGTTATCCCATGATTAATTATCCCGGGATTCGTTATCCCCCCCCCCCCAAATAGGGATTAAAAAAACACTACAATCCTGGGATAACTGATCCCGGGATTAGTTATACCATTATTTTATCCCAACCAAACATGGGATGAAGTCATCTCAAATTGGAACTAATTATCCCTTAGCCCTCGTACCAAACGAGCCTAAGAGACTTAAAATCCAGCCAGCAACAAAATTCATCCCAGGGACGCCCATCAGTATAGTTAGAATTGACAGATTGGTAGCGGTTTAATAAAGCTTCACAAATTCATTCTTCACAACAAGCAGAACGAGAAGTAGCTGACGAGAATTACAGAAAATGCAATCCTCTGTTTCAATTAGAACATCATCGCTTATTAGATATAACTTTTCATTTTTTACCAACATGCAAGATAAAATTACTACCTCACTAGTTTAATGCAGCATTAGATATCATCAAAACGGATAATTGACCTTCCAGTTCCATTATGGATACTGGTCAAGCTGAATCTCAGTTGCTCGATTTAGTGAGGAATGCGAGGAATGGATGTCTAGTTAGTATGCAAGCAGATGTGGACAGTAAGAGACCTTTCAGCATAAAATCAAATCACACATTTGGCACAACTCTGGCCTCCAACAATTGCTTAAACCCCAATAAAGGTACGATTACATGTACATAAATAAGCAATTCTATAAACAATACAAGTCCTGGAAAAAAAATTATAGAAGTATATGGATCATAAACTTCGCCCATAAAAGATAATATGGAGATCATAAACTTCAGATGCAGTCTAAGGAATCTGCAAATCCAAGAATATACGATTAAAAACATTGATAGAAAATTATTTTGAATATTTGGGAAAAGACGTCAATCTTAATTACAAGTAATACTTGAAAGAGCAAACAATAGAAGCTCACCGTGGCGAACATCTATAGTCAAAATTTTCAATCAAACAGAATCACTTTTTTGTGAGGAAAAAGTAGATTACAAATAGAAGAACAAAGGTACATAGAAAGAGTCAAGATGTCCTTGATAGCAAAATTACGTTTAAAGCAATAAGATATATGGAGGTACCTTATCTCTTTAAGGAAATGCTGAAACATCTCTGTTATGAGCCTATCACATTCTAGATCAAGCATGATGACACATGACCTGACCTTGGCCACAGTCTCAAGGACCAAGGCCCTTCTACTATATGATCTGCTGCACTCGTCATGAAAATTCTCAAAGGATGAAACAATTAATTGAAAGACATCCTGTGCGTCAAACAAATGGAATGTTATTAGACGGCCGATAAGGAAGGATAATGAAAGAGTGAATTTCTGATACCTTCATTTTGTCATCATCGTATGGAGCGTCTGGAGCAGAAATTCTAGTTATTTCAGATACACAAGAAGCAACAGCGACCTTCACATCAACGTCCGAATGCCTTAGGAGTTCATCTGCTACCAATGCCTTCATTAGCGGAGAAAGTGCACCATGCATGGATATGGCTGGTGATTGCTCCACTCTAGACAGGCAAGACTCCACTCGCTTTAAGTAGACGATAAAGGGAAAATAAAAAAACAAAGCACAAGTGAAAACATTGAAAAGTAGAAGCCTAACAAAGAGGTGGCACAGGAATCCTGAAATACAATTCCAGATTGTGATCAAAATATTTTTGCAAAATCAAATGAACCAAAACATGGAAGGATTAAAAGTGACAAAATTATGTTTCACCCTACCAAATATATCATCTTATTTATTTCCCAACACTTCTCTTTTTCTCATTTCCATTTTCAACGCCTCAATGGACGAGTACTAGTCAAATCAAGCTTAAAATACAATGATGATACATCTACAGAGGACACCATATTATAAAATCAAATTATTTCCATCTAGTAACAGTTCCCACTTGTAAGTCAAATTCATGTTATTTGCAATAAGATAACAATTAATTACTTGGTGTTTCTTGAAGAAAACCAGTAGGGCTAATTTTCTTGCTCCAAATAGGATACAAGGAACCACATGCAAACTTGTAAAGTTCTTACCCACTGATGAGCTGAATATCAAAGTTAGCCCCAAGTTCAGGCTACCAAGCTAATAAGTTATGGAGTTTCTAAAACAATTGTTAGAAAGCAGAAAGTTTGAAAAACAAAAAGAAACAATTTGGCAAGTACATAGAAGCGCCACTTATATCATGGGAGCATGTAACAATCAGTAATTGAGGATAGACCACAAAAACCATAATGTTGTACATCCAAAGGCGATTTATAAACCAGAAACATGAATATACATTTTCCTAAATTGAAAATGAATTTACTGAAAAGCACAAATCCATGCATTGAACTTGAAAGCGGCACATTTTTTAAAATGTAAGAAAGGTGACGGGTTTATTTAAAGACATAGCAGTAGAACCTTTTTCTGCCAAATCTTGCTACAGGTAATTAAACTCTAATACACAACATAACTGCATATGTCCTTGGAAACAAATACAGAAGACGAAAACCCCCTATAAAGTCAAGATACTGGATTTTGTCTCGTGATGCCTGCCCCACGCAATTATATCCACAAAAGAGAGGGATTTTATTATTCGACAGATGTTATATGTGACACAAAGAAGTAGAGAACAAAGATCATCTATTTATTCAATGTCCAACTGCTAGGCAACCCCGGACTTGTTCCTTAATATGTTCGGATTTCAGTGATTGATGCATGGTCAGTAAATGAATTTCTGAGCTGCTGGTGGTACTTTAAGGGTGATAAAGAAGCGTTTGAGACAGAGGGACCCATTATCTCCTACACTATTCATCATGCTAATAGAAGCATAGCGTGGAATGATGGATAGAACTGTACAGGTGGTTACTTCAGGGGTTTCCCTGTGGTGATCGGGAGCAATGCACAATGAGATTTTCACATCTCTTGTTCACAAAAGATACTTTAGTTTGCCGTGACATAAACACTAACCAGCTGGATTATCTTAGACAGGTTCTTACACTGACTCAGTCATTGTCAAGCCGCAAAATCAACCTCAAGAAGTACGAGATCATCCCAGTGACCAGCGGGTGAAGTAAACAATATTGAGAATCTAGCACAACTGCTTAGTTGCAAGGTTGGAGCTTTTCCAACAACTTATCCCTTTGGGCGCTAATAAGGATCAAGCTGCATGGGACCTGGTGATTGAGAGAGTTGAGAAAATGCAGGATGACAAATGAGGTGTATGCCGAAAGGGGGAAGGAAGTATTAACTGCAAGCACTTTATTGAGCATTCCCGCGTACTTTATATCATTGTTTCACGGACCAACTAATGTCACGGCAAATTTGAAAGGCTCCAAAGGAACTACTTATGGACTCAGAAAATGGGGCTAAGAAGTTCCGTTTAATCAGTTGGGAAGACGTCATGTCTCCAAAAAAATGAGGTGGTCTTGGGGTGGAAAAAACACCGAGTTCTAAACAAGGTCCTATTAGGGCGATTATGGAGATTCGAAACTGCGGAGCATGCTTTATGGAAGGGGGTGATAGTGGAAATGTATGGAGTTCTTGAAGGGGGATGGAGGACTAAAAAAGTTACTCCTTTTTGGGTGTAGACTTTGGAGGAATATTATGAAATAATAGGAAAACTTCTTTTCTTGACAAGGGAAATGATCGGAAAACTTCATCATGAATCAGATTTAGGAGTCACGGGTGGTGTGGAGAAGGAACTCTGAGACACATTCTGACATTCCCAAAATTTTATAATATATCAAACCAAAAGGAAATGACAGTACAATAAATCAGAAAGGCTACTACGAGGGGAATCTTTTCTTGAAATACCATCACTTGCGTCCCCTTATAAGTTTCTGGAGACCGGGATGTAATTCAGATCTTGAGCATCTGGTCAACCAGCCGAGTACAGCAGCGGGGGAAGGCGTGATGATAGTCGGGGTTGGGATTTTAGCTGGGTAGGGTACTAGTAGTGTTACCCTAGCAACAGGTTGGTCCTTTGTCTCGACCATAGATAGGAAAGGCTAGAGAGCGCTTCCACTAGAGAGAAAGAGAGGAATTAGCAGTTAGCTAATTTCATGAAATTCTTCTCACTTAGAGGGTAAAACACAAGAAAATTTCTGCGCTTTCTCCATGACAATGATCTATTGGCCAAGACTAGCCTCAAACTTGCAAATTATCCAAATCAAATCAATACTTCACGACATAAATAACGGATTCTATGAGCTTATCTGGAGATATTAGGTGCGCATTGTAAAACTTTGGACGTGTTGTAACTGTAGACTTCAACCCATCTATTGTCAAATTCAAAAGCAGGCGGTTTTATTTTGCTTTTTCCTTGAAATGCCATCTAAACAGAACCATTAGGCTTTCCAGCCAACCCACAAAACTCAAATGCAGAGGTAAAAGCCATATACAAATTGAAGGTAGGAAAAAGCTCCCAACACTCACATTGATAACCCCTAGGCAATTTCAAATGTGACCAGTATAAATAAATATGCAACTCACTTTTTACAACTATTACAAGAATCAACCAATTCGAATTAAAGCGGGAAAAAAATACTATAAAAGAGGAGAAGGGACTCACGTCGAGTAACAAAAGGAGTTCATCGTCAACCGAAGAAATGGGCTGAAGAAGCTTGTTTCCAGCTTCGACGAGCTGTTGTTCCAGTTCTTTATGTGAAGATGCCATCTTTGGTTTTCTCTATTCTCAGAGCCTTCAACAATTATCTAACAAACCATCCAATAATCCCTATAAAACCCTAGAATGAAAGAAAATTTTTGCGTGCATGGGAATTGAGAGGAACAATGAAATAAAAGGTGGTGAAACCCTAGAATAAGCAAGCAACAGGCAACAAAGAGAGGGCGGGGAGGAAGAGAGCGAGCACCGAGGCGATACTCTTGTGAAAGAGAATTAAATAAAGAATCATAAGTATGTTTATTTTTCGAAGGTTATGTAAATCTAAAGATGATCTGTTACTTTCGAGAAGATGTATGTTTAATATCCACTAACCAATTTAAACCTTTTCTACTTTACTACGTAGTTTTTACTATATGTGACAAAGGGTGGCCGGGCCGGGTTGAGTAGAAAAGGGAGTATATATGGCGTAGTATAGCCACTTTTTTAAGTGGTATTTAATTTTTAGCCAGTATTTTTAATATTAAGCAAAAAATAGCCACTACTCTATTAAAATTAATATGAAAAGACTTTTTTACCCTATATCCATGAGTGATGTGTAAATATTAAGGATATGGTGCCCTTAACTTCATGAGTGATGTGTAAAATATTAAGGACACTATGTCCTTGACATTTACATTGCACTCATGAAGTTAAGGACACCATGTCCTTAACATTTACAATGCACATATGAAGTTAAGGACATGATGTCCTAAAGTTTAACAACAAAAGTTACAAATACAAGTTAATGATATTATGTCCTTAATATTTACATTGCACACATGAAGTTAAGGACACTATGTCCTTAACATTTACATTGCACATATGGAGTTAAGGACACCATGTCCTTAATATTTACATTGCACATGTGAAGTTAGGGACATGATGTCCTAAAGTTTAACAACAGAAGTTGCAAATACAAGTTAATGATATTATGTCCTTAACATTTACACTGCACATATGAAGTTAATGACACCATGTCCTTAATATTTATACATCACTCATTAAGTTAAGGACACCATGTCCTTAACATTTACACTATACATATAAAGTTAAGGACATGATGTCCTAAAGTTTAACAACAAAAGTTGCAAATACGAGTTAATGATATTATGTCCTTAATATTTACATTACACACATGAAGTTAAGGACACCATGTCTTTAACATTTACACTGCACATATGAAGTTAAGGACATGATGTCCTAAAGTTTATCAGCAGAAGGTGCAAATATAGGACACTGTGTCCTTAATATTTATACATTACTCGTGAAGTTAAGGACACTATGTCCTTAATATTTACAATGAACACATAAAGTTAAGGACACCACGTCCTTAACATTTACACTGCACATATGAAGTTAAGGACACGATGTCCTAAAGTTTAACAACAAGAGGTGCAAATACAAGTTAAGGACATTATGTCTTTAACATTTACATTGCATACACAAAGTTAAGGACACCATGTCCTTAACATTTACACTATACATATGAAGTTAAGGACATCATGTCCTAAAGTTTAACAACAAAAGTTGCAAATACAAGTTAATGATATTATGTCCTTAACATTTATATTGCACACATGAAGTTAAGGACACCATGTCCTTAATATTTACACTGCACATATGAAGTTAAAGACATGATGTCCTAAAGTTTAGCAGTAGAAGGTGCAAATACAGGACACTTTATCCTAAATATTTACACAACATTCATGAAATTAAGGACACCATGTCCTTAATATTTACACAATACCTATGTCTAACACAAGGGTATCTTTGTCTGATGGGTAAAAAATTATTAAGCAAAAGAATAAATACATTTAAAATAGTGGCTAAAAAGTAAAGACATCTCTAATCAGTGGCTATCTGTACACTTTTCTCGAAAAGTGACCGGACGAATCTGGGCCGGTTATACGGGTCCGATCCTATCCGGTCAAATATTGAACCAGAACGGTTTCGGGCCTAAGGGACCGGGCCAGGTTTATTTAATTTATTTATTTATTGATATAACAATCGTCAACTTTATAAAATAAAATAAAAATAAAAAAATAGTCATTTTTACCTATTCGGGCCGGTCCGATTAACCGGTTCACATGTGACTTGACCATAACGGGCCATTCTAGTCCGGTTAATCGGTACCAAAAACTACCTGGCACATTCCGGTCCCCGCCCCAACCCAGCCCTGCCCGACCCCTTACTACCAGGCCGGTCCGGTCCGGATTAAAATCGGTCTGGATCGGTCCGGAACCGGGCCATCCCGGCCCGTTTGACAACTTTAGTTTTTACCCATATGAATCAGTACAAAATTTTTTAAAAAATATATTATTAAAACTATATTTGAGTCATTAAATTAAAAGTAAAAGTTTAAATTTTATATATATATATATATATATATATATATATATGATCTTATTTAGCTCACTCAACAACAAAAGAATAATTAAAAATAATTTTTTTAAAATTAAATGGGAAAAAAAGTAATTTTTGTATTCTGCTTCCAATCGAGAGTGAGGAAGTGTGTTAGATTCCTCGCGTCCAAGGACCAAAATGCCTTTACATTTTCTTAAATGCCCAATTTTGAGGAGGCGCACAATGATTTTGGTAAAATTAAAAATGAAAAGATAAATAATTTTAAATATTTTACTGGTATTTTAAAATGAAAAAAATAAGGGCAGTTCAGTTTATCTTACTTTAAAATGGTCCTCGCAATTCATTGAGATACTTTCAGTATTATATCTTAAAAAAATTAGTGAACCAATCAATGTAAATAGATACCTTGCGATGTACTACAAGAATTGGATTTGCATTCCAAAACATAAAATTCATTTTTACTTTTCACATAATAGTATGGATTGCTCACAAAAAGTCAATTCTTTTACAATTTATTTTGAGAAATATATTTGGTGTTTAACGTTTCTGCATGGCATTGGAGCTAAATGCTTTGGCTCATTTTTTACTCAAAGCTTTGTAGAGGTAGGGAAACAAAATAAGGAAAAAGTATCACACAATTTCAAATTAAAGATTAAAAATAGAAATAAGAGGAAGAGAAGAAAAGAGAATAGTAACGGAGTAAGTTGTTGAATGAAATTAGGCAAACAAAATATTCAAAGCGACTCCTCAAATTCTCCAAATATTTTACAACAATGAAGAGAACGTTGGTTAATGTAATTAAGTTTGCTAATATGCTTTTTTGTAAACCGGTTATGAAATTATAAAAGCTAGCTCTTAATTGGTGATATATGGATGTAAGGTTAGAAGAAGTTAATTTTTTGAAAAATAAAAGCGAACCAATAAATCACAACCGGAAAATACAAGGGAATTGGCGTTTAAACTTTATGGTTTACAACAAATTAACGCGTAGTTATAATTCATCATTTAATAGGATTCCCAATTAACCACATTCATGTAAGTGAAAAATTATTTAATATTTAATAGGAGGTTATTTTTCAACGAAGAAGATCAAAGGGTTGCCAACTTTGTCTTTATTTCAATTAAATATTTTCTTTTTAATTAATTTTATTATAATGTATATTTACATACTTGTACAAAATCATATTTGAAATAATAATATGTTGAAGGGTATTATAGTCACTCAATTTTATAAGGTTATTTCGGTCTTTTAAGTTTTAGTTTAGGTCTTCATACTTATAATATAGTACTAGTTTCAAGATACCCGCATTGCGCGTGTACTCTATCGTTGAGTATAAAAATTACATAATATTTAATAATATATTATTGAATTGTAAAATAATTTAAAAGAAAAAATTCAAGCATATGAAAGTGATGAAGATTAGTGACATTTAGCTAACGCAACAAAGAGAAAAAGTCTTACTTCTACAATGTCCTTAAAAAAATCTCACACAATATATTATTCTCCTCAACTCCCCATACAACCGAATAATTATAGAGTTAAATTAAATTTAAATAATTTGGTTTTCGGAATGTCATCCATTTAAAAATAAATTTATATCACAATCACTTGCATTTTGTTGTCTTCATCATGTCGAGGAAAAGCAAACAGATTGCTAGACAAATAAATATAGACATAGGCTTAAAAAGGAATTTTCAATTGGTTAAAACTTGTTGGCGATAGACGCAGGATTTGAATAATTTAATTAATACTAAAGTTTTGTTTTTGTTTGTCATAATTAGTCTTTAGTAATTTTATGAATGAACAAAAAGAACGACCAATGTGTAATTTAAACTTTCTTAAATTTACAAAAATTTCAAGAATTAATATTTCTATCAATTAAATTCTTGCTATCTCTCAATCAACCTACATCACAGTTTACGATGTGCTCCGGATGGTAATCCTAATAAAAAAAATTATTTGCATATTAAATATGTATTTATCCAAAGAGAATGCATTGAAATTGAAAATAGAAGTCTATACTCTATATGAATTGATTTCGGTCACTTTTCATATGTTAATTTACAAGTCGTATTATTAATCAATTTTACGTCAAATAAGGTAGGCATTCGATTCCTATTCAAATTAGGACTGTTATATCAAAAAGTTTCCATATTAGACATGAAAGTGATAGTAAGTATATACAAGTCACTCCCTCTGTCTCATATTAAAAGTCATAGTTAATATAAATAGTTGTCTCAAAATTATTTGTCATTTTAAAAGTTCAAAACAATATTGATTGTTTTTTTTCCTTTTTTACCCTTAATAATAGTAACTGTTCCTGAAAATAGAGACAGTACATAAATAGAACACTCGATGAAAATATATTATATTTTAAGATATAAATAAGGGTAGAATAGTCTAATCCCTTTCCTAATTAATATTTTTTAAGGTGCGTGTAAAAGAGAAACACGACACATGATATGAGACGGAGGGAGTATAATTATTAATATAACCATCCTAATAATAGGTAAAACTCTAAAGGTGGCGTAGTTACTGTTTCCACTTTACTTTGTTCTTTTGCTCGAGTTTTTTATTTTAAACAAAATTTGATAACGAATACAGTTCTTGGTAATACATCTGACATACACAACTTTATAATATATTGGGCTAGGGGTGGCAAGTGGGCCGGGCCCGGTCCTAAATGGGCTCCGCGGGCCCGGTCCTAAGTGGGCCGGTCCTATGCGGTCCGGTCCTAAACGGTCCCGGGTTTCGCGGGCTTATTGTTGGAACCGGCTCGGGACCGGAACCACGAACTAACGGTCCCGGGTTAAGTGGGCCGGTCCCGGGCCTAAACGGGCCCAACAGAAACTTTGTATTTTTTTTATTTTTTTTATATAAGTTAGAGAAAAAAAATAGTAATAAAGGTATATAAGCTATATTCGATTTATATACTAT